AGTTTCCTTCTTCTTCTTCTTGCGGGATTGAATAAAGAAAGTTTCGGATAATTTACGATTCTGTTTTGAACTAGTGTGTGTTTTCGAGATTGTGAATCGCTGTGATTTATAGCGTGTATTATAAAAGTAGTTAAGTTTAAAGTGACGAGAAACGTACTGAATGTGAAATTACTGTGTACTAAAAGTTTGTATTCAGAAAGAATAAAGTAGTTTAATCAAGAAAGGAATTTTATCACTGAAGTTCCTCGGAAAGAATTTCTACCGGAAATTAACAAACAAGTAGATACGTAACAAACTGGTGCCAGAGAATGGGACGGAAAAAGAGAAGAAAAAAAGATGAAACAAGAAGTGGCAAATCAAACTACGACTTAGCAGATTTGATGGCAGTAATACAAGAACAGTAAATAAAACAAGAAGAACGAGAAAATAAAAAAGAAATGAGACTACAGCAGTGGTTGGAGGAGAAAGAAAAGAAACAAGAAGAGAGATTACAGCAGTTGTTGGAGGAAAAAGAAAAGAAACAAGAAGAGAGATTACAGCAGTTGTTGGAGGAAAAAAGAAACAAAAGAACGAAAGAATAAAGAAGAGAGACTACAGTAGTGGTTGGAGGAGAAAGAAAAGAAACAAGAAGAAAGGCTACAACAGTGGTTGGAGGAGAAAGAAAAGAAACAAGAAGAACGAGAAAAAAAACAAGAAGAGAGACAACAGCAGTGGCAAGAAAACCAGCAACAGTGGTAGCTTGAACAGTAAAATAAACAAGAGAGATTACAACAGTTGTTGAAGGAAAAAGAAAAGAAACAAGAAGAAAGATTACAGCAGTTGTTGGAGTAAAAAAAGAAACAAGAAGAACGAGAAAATAAAGAAGAAGAGAGACTACAGCAGTGGTTGGAGGAGACAGAAAAGAAACAAGAATATAGGCTACAGCAGTGGTTGGAGGAGAAAGAAAAGAAACAAGAAGAAAGATTACAGCAGTGGTTGGAGGAGAAAGAAAATGAACAAGAAGAAAACTACAGCAGAGGCTAGAAAACAGCACCAGTGGCAACTGGAACAAGACGTACAAATGGAAAAGATTAGTGAATTTCAAAGTGAATGAAATCCATTAAAGGACGATTTACTGTCTTTTACACAGGGAGGAT